ATGGCCTCAAACCACCAACTGTTTGTTTAGGAGCCCAATACATTGACCACTATGACAGACACCAAGGTTCCTTATAACTACTCAGAATTATATTTTACTTATAAAAATAATTTAAGTTCAATTGTTAACGTCTTATATAACAGATCTCTCAGTTTCTATACATTTATTGGTTGATTGATTGTTTCTACATCTTAAATATACTGTCGAGTCAGAACCAATACAAACTGACCCTCTGGTGGGTTTTTAGAGGCAGTTAATCACTTGGAAGGAGATTGCCAGTCCTTCTCCCTTGGGACAGCTGGTGGATTTGAACTGCATGCCTTTGGGATTACAGTGAAGCTTCTTGCCACTAGGGTGGCGGGACAGTGCAAAAGAGGAAGGCCTTTGATGAGATGGATTGATTCAGTGACTAGGGTAATGGGGGTAGGTGTGTCAGAGACAATAACACTGGCACAAGATAGAACAGGGTTTAGGAATGTTGTACATAGGGTCACTATGCGTCACGAAATAGTATACACAGTGGGTGATCATGGAGGACATTATGCTGAATGAAATAAAATTCACAAAAGGACAAATACTGCATAATGCCACAGTTATAAAACAAGACTGATATAGGGGTTGGGGTGAAATTAAGAAAAGAAGGGATAAATAATGTTCACTGAATTGAAACAGATGAGGGAAAGAACTGCTTAAAAGGAATATAGAGTTAGGTATTATTTGCATGACAACAGTCCAGAATAAGAGCTGCATAGTAAAGTGGACTGGGGTGGGGGTGGAAAATTGTACAACAATGAAATAATTTTTTTTTTCAAAGAGAAAAGTGAACTGGGGGAGTCAGGGAGGAAAATATGCAATAACGAATGAATGGCAATCCAAGTGTTCTATAAACTTTCATTAAAATCTTAACAGCATCAACAACAAGAAGACATTAGCAAACACCAGAAGTAGAAAAGCACATCTCAAGTTTTGTGAAAAGTGAGAGACTACTTCCATTTTGTCAAACATGCAACAACTCCATAGGTGACCCTCCAAAGCGGACCCTCTGGTGGGTTTTCAGAGGCTCTTAATCACACAGGAGGGAATGCCCATATCATTCTTCCGCAGAGCAGCTGGTAGATTTCTAACCATGTGCCCTCAGGTTTGCAGTGTAGCTTGAGGCCACCAGAGCTCCCTCTACATGCCCTTATTGTTGTTGTATTGTTCTTGTTGTGCACTGTAGAGTCAGAACCAATCCATCCTGAGGAGCATCTGGTGGCCTCGAACCTAAACCCTGTGCCTTCAGGATTGAAGCACAGCTTCTTGCCACTAAGCCATCAGAGTGCTAGAGTTTGTTAAAAATTGGTCTTAGAGCTGATATCCTGGTTTATTAAAAGCTGAGACACCTGGTTATGCAAAATATAAAAAAACGTTCTTCATATTTTGTGCCATACAGTAAATAGTATAAAATGGATGTTTCACCCTGTTTGAATCCAACAGGTGTTCAGTGAGAGGAAGTTAAGCAGTTGGGAAACCTAGTGGGGACTGCTATGAATCAGCACTGCCTTGACAGAAGTGTGGTGTTTTATTGCTTTGTTTTGCCTGTTCCTCAAGCATTCTGCTTTCACTCTGCCTTGGAGGCCAGAGTGATATGATCTGCACAGACTAGATACACTAAATCAATATAAAAAAATTAAAAAATTACAAAACCAAACACCCAGATCTTGTGCCTTTAAATGTAATGTACCATATCAGTTTGGTTAGATGTCAATTTAGGAAAAACACTTCAACTCCTTTTTTGGCTCTACTCACTGCCTTCAGATTAGTTCTGACTCAGAGTAACCATATATTGGGTTTCTTTACACAAGGAGACTCATCCTTTGTTTTCCACATAGCAGCTGGTGGATTAGAACTGCTCAGCTACTGGTTAACAGCTCTTTAAGCTATACCCTATACCACTGTGACTCTTGTTTGGATCAGTGGTACTTAAAATGCATTTCTTTTTTTTTCTATAATTATATTTTATTAATTTTCATAAACATTCACAGAGATTTTGGGCCTCCACTCATTCATTGTTGCACTATTCTCTCTACCCTCCTCCCAGTTTGTTCTTGTCCAAATGCCACAGTGCTTGTCAAAGCCAGTTCCGATCAATCTTCTTTGTCAGTGTGTCCTTTGCCATTCCCCATCACTCCTCCCTGAGAGAGACTTCACCCTGAGTCACAAGGAAAAGGGGATGGCGTATTCTCCTAGCTACTTCCTGCTGAAAAGGGACGCTGTGGGTTTCAGGGTGAAGATCTTCTCTCACCACTCTAAAGGGCCCCTTTGGCAGTAGGAAACACATAGACTATTATGGAGATTGATTTTGGAATTTAGATGCACCCTTATTGATTGTGCTTGGCTGTACATGTTCATATCCTTGAAGATGCATCATGGGGGTGTTCTAAGACCTGCAACACTAGTATCATGTATATGAAATACAAAATACCCAGGGCCACTCCAGACTCCCAGAAATTGGAGAGGAAAAGAGTGAGGTTCAGAAGTTTGAATTAACAAAGGCAGGATCCAGGAGAATTTTTTTTGTTTAATCCAGGAGATTTACAATTTATTCTGATACTCCCTTTAACATCCTCATGATTCCAGTATTTAACATATGTCATCAATTACACAAACATGCAATATGTAAGTTGTCCTTGACAGATGTATAAAAAGATAGTTGTCCTTTGTACAGTAATGGATGAAAGACAAGCAGCCACCTTTTTAAAGTTTTCATGGTAACACATTTTTCTCTTTCAACTCTAATTCTCTTTCTCACATACACAAAAAAGGAAAATAAAAGCAATGCTAACAGATGGTTCTAGTTACACAGAAAGGAAAACTTTATTAGCTGATATAAATATCTCGTATTATTTGAATAATATGTGGGCCATATTGGGAGAACAACTATATCCAAACCTGTCTTAAAGAACTACCACAGCATTCCTTTCTGCTATATATAGTTGTTTAGCTTGAAAGACTACTCAAAAATTAACACAGCCTTTAGTTTTAAATGGCTGCTGTATTTGTTATCAAATCATTATACTCATCAGATCTATTTAGATGTGTACCTCAATTTCTGCTGAAACTTTAAAAAGTGCCATAATCCAGCCCTTCACCCTAAAGCCATATTTAGAATAAAATATGGCACTGACTAGACCTCAAGATACAGGTTATTGGAGCAGTGCTTTCCAAAGACATAACGCAATACACATATGTGCTTTAAAATTTTCTAGTACTTAATGTTTAAAAAGTAAAGTGAAACAAGCAATATTAATGTTAAAACGTCGTTTAACTGTTGTTATAAGCCATTGAGTGGACGCAGACTCAGTGACCCTATGTAAAAGCTCTGAACCCTGCTCCTGAGTCACTTTTATTGTCTCTGACAGACCTACTACCATTTCCCCAAGGCACTGAGTCAATCCAGCTCATCCAGGGTCTTCCTTTAGGATATCAAAAAATTATTTCAACATAAAAACACTATAAAACTGCTCATTAGATAGTTATCATTTTGTTCTTAGCCTTCAAGTTCTGGCACGCGTTTTACACATCTCAATGATAATGTTAAATTTTCACAGGAAATTGTTTTGATTCAGGAAAATTTATCAGTGAAAAAGTACTCAACACACTCTAGCTGTCCCAAACCTAGTAGTTACCTAATAGGTAACTGATGTATCTATCATCTTTTACTAAAATAAACAATTAACCAAAGTAATTCCCATGGACATTAGCCACATTTCAAGCACTCAACAGATATAGGTGGAATGACTACCACATGGGGCTTTACTGACTTTCAGACCTTGGACAATCATCATAATCCGTCTCAAATTTCAATTTAACCTTTTCGAAGTTTATTCAGGTTGTTTTAATGTGGAAAAAGCCCTACCCTCAAAGTACCTTTCAACTTCTGCTTACAAAACTAATCCCAATCTGTAAATCCTCGAATTCAAGAAAAAGTTTGTAATTTTTAAAAAATTCTCAAGTAACCCTCCCCCCCAAAAACCAGAGGTAAACTTATCGCATCTGTTTAATTAAAAGAAATACATCCTTATTGATTTAAGATGGTGGTGTTTTTTGTTTTAATGGCCATGAAATGTTATTACTGACATCAACAGATTTACGTTTACAATCATGCTTGCGCAGAAAACCCTGGAAAAACCGGTCATCTCTTAATAATAGCAGTTACTTGAAGGACCTTGGGGGAGGGGAGGGCGCACAGACGCAGTTAGTTTTGGGGTTTTGGTTTTGTTTTTTTTAAAAAAACATTTTAATAATAACCATTTACAGAGATTTTGGATTTCCATTCATTCATTGTTGCATTTTCTCCCTGCCCAGCCCTCCCCCCCGCTCCAGTTTGCTTCTCTCTTTGAAAAAGTAAAAGGCATTTTCTTTGGTTCTGAGCCGTTATTGTCTTAATCCCCTATCCCCAAGTTTATTTTGTAATTTAAGGACCGTCTCAAATGTATTCTGAAATGATGGTGGATCCCCCCCCCCCTAGTGTGGGCTATTATTTTTAAAATATAACGTAAACATCGTACAGAAAGGAAAAACGGCTACGTGAAAAGTGTCCGTTTGCGTTCAACCGCTTTCTGTTAGCGGTTCCCGCCGGCAGAACGGAAGCAAAGCGACCTGACGTCACGATCAGAGGTGTCGCTACGTTCCCTTCCGGTCGTCTCCGCGGCCATTTTTACTGTGGGCGACGCACTACGCGGCTGTGGCGGAGGGATCGTGGCTCCGCGGAGAGTCTACAGAATTAAGAAAGGAGAAAGGAAGCATCCAGGTTTGTAATAAGTATTCAATTAACTGGGGAAAAGCATTAGCTAGGTTAGAACGCAGAGGAGCGGTTTCCGTGGCGAAGCGGAACATTTTTAAAGGTATTGTCACGTTTCTACCCGGACACTGATTGCTGTTTCCGTTGTTCGCAGGACAGGCCAGGCGAGTCGTAGGAGAACAAAAATTGGCCTTCTCGTGCGTGAACAACCGGAATCATGTCGAGTTTGGCGGTGAGAGACCCGGCCATGGATCGGTCGCTGCGCTCCGTGTTCGTAGGGAATATTCCCTATGAAGCGACCGAGGAGCAGCTAAAGGACATTTTCTCTGAGGTTGGTTCGGTCGTCAGTTTCCGGCTGGTGTACGATAGAGAGACGGGGAAACCCAAAGGTTATGGCTTCTGCGAGTATCAGGACCAGGAAACCGCACTTAGCGCCATGCGGAACCTTAACGGGCGAGAGTTCAGCGGGAGAGCGCTCCGGGTGGACAATGCCGCCAGTGAGAAAAATAAGGAGGAGCTCAAGAGTCTGGGGCCCGCGGCGCCCATCATTGACTCACCCTACGGGGACCCCATCGATCCGGAAGATGCCCCCGAATCGATCACGAGAGCCGTGGCCAGCCTCCCTCCCGAGCAGATGTTCGAGTTAATGAAGCAGATGAAGCTCTGCGTCCAAAACAGCCACCAGGAAGCGCGAAACATGTTATTGCAAAACCCGCAGCTGGCGTACGCGCTGTTGCAGGCGCAAGTCGTGATGAGGATCATGGATCCGGAGATTGCGCTTAAAATTCTGCACCGGAAAGTACATGTGACGCCGCTTATCCCAGGCAAATCTCAGCCTGTTTCTGTCTCGGGCCCTGGACCTGGACCTGGACCTGGCCCTGGACCTGGCCCTGGCCCTGGACCTGGCCCTGGCCCAGGCCTCTGCCCAGGACCTAATGTTCTCCTGAACCAACCCAATCCTGCTGCCCCTCAGCCTCAGCATTTGGCTAGGAGACCTGTGAAAGACATTCCTCCGCTGATGCAGACTCCTATCCAGGGTGGAATTCCCGCTCCAGGGCCAATCCCAGCTCCTATACCTGGATCTGGTCCTGGTGCCTTAACTCCTGGAGGAGGAATGCAGCCCCAGGTTGGCATGCCAGGAGTTGGTCCAGTGCCTTTAGAGCGGGGACAGGTGCAGATGGCAGACCCCAGAGCTCCTATACCACGTGGACCCATGACTGCTGGTGGCATACCTCCAAGAGGACTGTTAGGTGATGCTCCAAATGACCCCCGTGGAGGAACTTTGCTTTCAGTTACGGGAGATGAGCCTCGAGGTTACCTGGGCCCTCCTCATCAAGGTCCTCCCATGCATCATGCCTCTGGTCATGACGGTCGTGGCCCTTCCTCACATGAGATGAGGGGCGGACCAATGGCTGATCCTAGAATGCTAATGGGCGAGCCCAGAGGGCCCATTATGGACCAGAGAGGTCTCCCCATAGACGGTAGAAGTGGCAGAGATGCCAGAGCAATGGAGGCACGAGCCTTGGAAAATGAGGTCTTAGAAGCACGAGTAATGGAAAGAAGAGGAATGGAGACTTGTGCAATGGAAACCAGAGGAATGGAAGCTAGGAGCATGGATGCAAGAGGAATGGAGATAAGGGGCCCAGGCCCCAATCCAAGAGGCCCTATGGCCGGTGGACTCCAGGGTCCTGGTCCCATGAATATGGGGGCAGGTGGACCTCAGGGGCCCAGACAGGTCGCAAACATTTCAGGGGTAGGGAACCCTGGAGCTGGCATGCAGGGGGCAGGCATGCCAGGGCCTGCCATGCAAGCAGGCGGTATGCAACCAGCAGGCATGCAAGGAGGCGGCATGCAACC